ACACAATTTATAAGTGATTTTCAGTGTTTTATATATGTTATTTCTAGAGAAGTCATGGTTTCTAAAAGGAGAATTATTATAACACATTAGCATTTATAAATATACAAATATGTAATTTGCAATAATTGTTTAGTTTAAACAATATTAGGATTTTAATGTATTTATTCCAGTCCTCACTATCAAAAACAGTCACTCAAGGTGTAAAGTACACATTCCCGCTGTTAGAAATGGATGGACAGGTCAATATTGTCTGCAAAATAGTCAATAAACACAGCGGATTAGGCTAGAGGGAGGCCTCAGGCATCAGTGCCTGAAGCCATTTACAGCCAGAGCTGGAAGTATGGCTCTGACCAATGTGAGTGCATTTCAACTACATAAACTACATGTAAATTGTAATATATACTGGTAACATTAACTATACATTTACTAATTTAATTTAACTATAAATCTAATTTTAAATGCCCATTACATACACTCAAAAGAAATCTGTACTGTCCACAAGATCTTAGTTAATCACGTTTTTTTTTCTTTAAATAATATATAATAAATAAAGGAATCATGGATGTTAACAAAATAAGGCATATAACATTATAAAAGGAACATTTTAAAAATATATATATATCTTATCTTGTTGCTTTCTTTGGAATTAGTTCATTTGGTTGTTGTGTTCTGTTATTTTTGAGTTTATCACTAATACTTTTTTTTTTTTTAGTTAGATACCATTGCTGGTGAATGGGTTGGACTTCCACCACTGCCATCTGCCAGATGTCTCTTTGGTCTGGGTGAGGCCGACAACTGTGTTTATGCCATTGCTGGCAAAGACCTTCAGTCTGAAGAGTCACTGGATTCCGTATTCTGTTATGATTCCAAGTAAGTCACATATGGTTCAAAATCTTCCACAAGATGGCAAGATCGGTAAAAATGGTATTTACTCTCTAAATATCTTCTTTCAGAGCAGTGGCTTGGAAAGAAGGAAAGAAGTTGCCCATCAAGGTCTATGGGCATTCTGTAGTGTCACACAATGGATTGATTTATGCTCTTGGTGGAAAAACTGATGACAAGTAAGTGTTCTAACCCTGTATGGTACATGCAACAACATCTTAGTATACTGGGTCCATTGAATTGAATGTGTTGATAACACCAGAAAATATTATTATTATTTTTTTCTCACAATGACCCACATTCTCATGCTACCAAAAAAAAAGTTAGGTGATCAAGAGGGTTCTCATATAATAAAAATATAAATAATAAAAGTAAACCAGAGTTTGGAATGGAAGAGGGTCTGGGAATACAGATAAATAGGGCTTGGGTACAGGTGATGTCTACTTCCTTGATTACTTGTGCTTCATAGAACTCTACAGCAAGACAAAATGTACATCCAACACATTATTGTGAATTGTATCGTGAAGCTTTCTGAACTTTGGTAAACTGTATAAAATTGCTGTGGAGCACTGCAGTAAACCTAAACAACACACTTGATTTTGATGGTATGGGGCTCTCTGATTCACCCGTACACACCCCAATATATATCTGCATCTAGTCATATATAGCACCTGTTCCTCTGACCTCTTAATTGAAAGGACCTTTGCTGATCTAAGCCTTTGGCGAAAATCAGTTGACGCCTGATCTGGTATTCTAAAACAGAACTTTGTTTACTGCACCTGTCAAGGCTGAAATTCTAGAACATTCTTTATGTTCTGTCATGTTTATCTACCAGCACCTTTAATATTGCAGAGCATCGGCTGGCTATATTATGGTTGTGTATATATGTATGTATGCACATATATAAAACAGACATACAGTCTTAGCTCTTCGTAGGGTGTGAAATAAACAATATACAGCATACAAGAGGACAAATTTATGTCATCGATAACAGGACATGAAGGAAGGGTTTGCTCAAATGGACTTCCATCTAGAGAAGTGGATATAATGATAGAAAAGAGAAACTTAATGTATCCAGAATTCATAGTTAGTATTGCTTGTACGCATCAAGACAGGGGAGATGTTTGTGATAGATGGAGATGTTTGTTCCCACACTCAAATTTGAAATATTTTGGGTTATTGGTTATTTGTTAAGTAAACTATTTTCAATTCATGAGGTGCTCAAAATGCTACATTTTTGATCGATCGATCGATAGATAGATAGAGCAAACCAAATAACAAGTTGCCAATAAAAACAGTTCAGTAAAGAATTCCTGAAAACCAAACTTGATCTACACAACATTACATTGTATCATGTTACAATTAATTGTTGGCTAATCTGAGATAATTATTCATCTATCTTTATAATCTCAGGAAATGTACTGGAAGAATGTTTGTTTTCAATTCAAAGAAAGGAGATTGGAAAGATCTTCCCCCTATGAGAACAGCGCGCTCAATGTTTGGGGCTGCTGTACACAACGGCAAGATCTTTGTTGTTGGAGGTGTCACAGAAGATGGTCTAACTGCGTCAGTTGAAGCCTTTGATATTGCAAGTAATAAGTAAGTATGTTTATAAAGGTTTTAGAAAAGTAAAATGGAGACTGTGGGGACAGTGGAGTAATGGTGTATCTGGAAAAGGCGTAATTTGTGATTGTGGCCCTAAACAAATATTTTAAGCCGAATAACCAGCAAAGTGTTTTACCTAGACATAATGTCATTGAATTTATATGGATCTTTAACACTTTTACATAATTCAGCATTACTTGTTTGTATTTTGAATTGCAGGTGGGAGCCAGTTGCTGAATTCCCCCAGGAGAGAAGTTCTATTAACATGACCAGTGTGGCCGGATCATTATATGCTATAGGAGGCTTTGTCATGGTGCAGGTGGAATCCCAAGAGTTTGCGCCTTCTGAGGTCACAGATGTTTGGAAGTAAGTTGGGAAGTTTTAATATGTAGACATGTCACATTCATTCCAAAAAAAAAAAAAATTCTTGCATGAAGTCTATTTTGCATATTTGTGGTCCTAAACCATTCTTGTCGGTGACACAAATTATGTCAGTTTGGTAAGCTATTCCCTAGCAGGAAATTCGCTTAATGGCACATTCTTTAAATGTGATACGATTAACATGAATTTTCAGTAAATGTTCATTAGACTCTTCTCAGGGTCAGAAGGGTGTCTAATCCCTCCGTAACACAATGCCAGTTAATGGGTTACTCAAAGAACCATGACCACTTCAGATGACTGGAAGTCTTCATGGCGTTTGAGAAAAGAAATGCTGCACATGCAGAGATAAAGTATTTTGCTGCCAGAAGTGTAACTCTTGTTGCGGGCTGATGAAGTGAAATCTGTGAATTAAAGGCATTGTCAGCACACCTACCATGCTGGGGGTGTAAGGCCAATGGCAGCATGTCCCGCTAGTCCTCCCTCAAACTGGCCCTGCAATTGTGGGGAGTGACATCCCCAAAGGCAGATTAGGATGCAGAGAGAACTTGGCTTCGGTGTGGGATCACAGATACATTTTTTCTTTTTTTTTTTCTTTTCTTAAAGAAAAGACCATGCCAGCAAGTGTTACTACAACCCAAAAAGGCATACATTACACCCTTGTAGGCCTTTGTTATTATCAAGACCTCTGAACAGTAAATCTGTCATGAGAGGGGTTCTTGAACAGGAGATTTATTTTTAATAGTAGAGTTAATTTACGGACATTGAGGAATTAATTTTTTGGCTGCCCTAGGTCAAGACGTAGTCAAGACTATACATCCTCATTTACTGGTCACATGATAAATTAGTCTTGAGGGCATAACCACAACAGGCTGGAGTGGCTATGGTACTTAAGGTGTTCCCTTAATGCAGGAGTAGGTGACCTTCAGCACTCCAGATATTGTGAACTACACCTACTTTTAGAGCCATAACGCTGGCATCAAGGGAAATGAAGGCCAAAACATCTAGAGTGCCGAAGGTTGCCCATCCCTGCTTTAATGTAAGGTACCACTTTAGGTCACACAACATCTGTAGCTTTTTGACTACATACACATTAAATATGTCGGTTTATTTTAAACATATATATAAAAAATATTATTTTTGGGGGGACTATTCCTACTGATTACCTCCTGTCTAGTCTATGCACTACATGTCTAGAGTTTGCTAAAAACAATTGTAACATAAAATGTTAAATCTGATTTTAAGATTTAGATGTTCTTCATCATCTTTTGTGCTCTGCCTCTACAGGTTTGAAGATGACAAGAAAGAATGGGGTGGAATGCTGAAAGAGATCCGTTATGCTTCCGGAGCCACTTGCCTTGAGACAAATCTCAATCTTTTTAAACTTACAAAATTATAATAGCAGATCAGATCTTAAAGTTTACATAAAAACCCACAAAACAAGTATACTATACTGTTTTTTCTTTTTTTTTTTTTGTTGCTACTACTTGTCTAAAACTAAAAGTTGTACAGAAATTTATAGTGAAAAGAATAAAGGATTTGACTAACTACACCACTCATTACTGGCAAGTGGCAATCTTTAAGTTTCCGAGAACTGGCATCAAATGATCGATTTGAATTTTCAACATATAAGAAAGAACAAACAATGCAATCCCAAACATGCCATTTTTCAACTATAATTTAAACCCAAGCAGGACTCTGACCTTGCCAAAGGCATGGAAAAATGTTGGGCTAAAACACTGTGTTAGGGGATGGCATGGACTCTGGGACTATACACTGTTTCCTTCAAATATACCATCTAATACGTAGAGAATGGACATGGGTCAGTACTGTAATTTGGTTACTTAGTTCATCAAGATTTAATTTGGAGTTTTCATTTTTTGTTAAATGTCAGGAGTCTTTACACGTAAGGTTAGACTGTGTCTTGTAATTGACTTTTATTCCATCGACTTCTTTGATGTTATAAGAAATAAGCTTTTTTGCATGGCTCATCTGCATCTGGTCATTAGGGTTTATTCACTCAACAATACTCTTCCCCAGCCTTCTCCGACCAACAGCAGTGCCTAAATATTTTAACTGGTTCCATTTTTCCCAGGTTTCTTTAACACCTGCCCCAGTATCCTTGACTCCTGGTTCTTCAATAAATAAAGATATGCCATAAACGTTGATTACTCAATGTATTATATAAAAAAACTATTACAACAATGAAACATAGCTATGCATAAAAACGTTAAATACAAATGAAACTCCATCTATAGAATTGCCGACAACAATCATGCCAGGATAATCAGGATAGGGTGGGCAAGGCCTTGAGAAGACATCACCATTGACGCACCTCACAACACCCATTACAACGGGCCTTCCCCTTTTTTGCTGAAATGCTCACTGCATGGTTTTGGTGTCCTCTGTACAAGCGCTCGTGCATCTAATTATGTGCTATGCTGTGCTAGCCAGGTAGAGTTCCCTGGTATCCCCATATGGCAACTAAAGTGGGACAACGAGACAAGACCCTGGAAGCGGAACTGTTGGGTGGGCTGCAATATTAAGTTAATATGATAATTGCTGCCTGTTGCAACCATTTTGTAAGCGAAACAAGATGTTTACCTACTTCTTAAATGTGTTATACAAAACATCTGTCAGAGCACGTTCTGAAAAATGTTTTTATTAGCAATAAAATATAAATTAATTCTAAATACAAAAAAAAAAAAAACACAGGAGATCATAAGTCATTTTCAAACAGATTCTTTCGTAGATATTCTTTCCAAGCAGCTTTTGTTGACAGTTCCATTGAATTCCACTCCAAGCTAGAAATCTAAAAATAAAAGAGGAAAAAAAAGCAACACAAAATTATAAGTGAATGCATGACGCAACATTAGCTCAGACCGAGCATTTATCTTCACTAGTTACTCCCTGATCCTGCATTATGCATGAGAAATGTTTTTAGAATACAACCGATTGATAATCAGTATGTTTCACATGTTCAAGTTTAAACTTTTCAAGGGGGGAAAAAAGGTGTGCCTTGGTCGAAGTGGGAAATTAAGTTATTATAAAAACAATCTACATGCTTTTACAGGACAGTTAGGATCAAAGCTCTTCAAGGTTTTATGTCACAAAAGATATTCTGGAGAGTAATGTTAAAAATTTACGGTTTGATATGTTGTAGAATATAATTATTGTACGCAAAGTTTGCAATGATCATAGTCGTTTAGTTTACAAGTTTTGGGGGTTATTTTTTAATCTTTTACCAGCCTCTCTTGATCACATCATTCCAAATAAGTTAAATGGAGAAGCTAGACACCATTGCAACTTTGTGAATTGCAAAACTACTGATCTCTCTGATATCAAAGGAGGAACTTTCCTTACTCAAGCACATCCCTTCCCTCTCCAGCTCTAGACATGTGTCATCGTCATATGAATGCATGGCTGACAGCTCAGGCGATCTCTGTGAACAGACTGATTTACTAAAACTTTAAACTATGCTGCAAGTAAACTGATAGCAGCTAATATATAGAGCCTATCAGCTTATTGAGTGATGTAGCTTAGAGAAGATGAGTGAAACTGGGACTTAACGACATTGGTGTCACTTCTATTTGGATGACCGTTTACAGAAAGCCCAGTTTTTCTCTTTTAAGCAGTCCATATCATATAATAATGTAGGCTATGAAATATCGAGATTCATTATTTCATGCTAGTAACCCAGAGGTTATGAAGTGAGAAGGAGGACATACTGGGAGGGGAGAGAGAAGTAGAGATAAATATATATATATGGTGAGAGAATAAGAATCTGATTCTACTGCACCTGCTCTGGGATTCAAAGGAGATTCCTGGCAACAACACAACTTTAACTCATTAAAGGTCAAATACAGAATAATTTAGTTATAGCACACCAGCCTTTAAAGATCATATATTAAAATACAAGCTAACTGTTGGTGCTAAATAAGCAGCAGTAGCCATGCTGGCATAGTGTCTGTAGGGACCAGATCATGATGATAGCATAAAATATAGTTGATCCTTAACTCCTAAGTGGCTGTGTTTTCCCAAGACTCCCAGGACTCCCCAAAGACTGGAGAAAGTAATCGGCAGAGGGGTCGGGAGGATAGTGGCTGTTGAAAACAATCAAACCATTTGAAAACACTTTAAGCCACTATGGTAAGATGGAGAAGAAGAGGAAAAAGTTGTTACGGTACCCGAAACTTCCCTTTCAACTTTCTTTCTTAATATCTAAATGACTGGAATGATTGGACGAAAAGATGATTAGAGCTATCATAATGCAATTATAAAGGTGACTAATAAATTACTGTAAGAAAAAGGAGTCAAACGTTCATATTGTAGAGGTAGTGGAACAGCATACAGGGATATTGCAGACGTAGTGGAAACGTACAGTTAAGAATAGTTGAAGGAAATATGTTTTGGGCTATCTCACTGCAATAACAGAGATGGCTAATCATATTTGTATGAGAAATATTTACCATTACTCTGCAAAAAAAAATTTCAATCAGGGGACAGGAGGAGGTGCAATGCATCAAACAGCTAAAATGCTTTCAAACTGCTAGAAAGGACAATTTATTTTTCTTTAGCAATGTACCTGAACCACGTGGTATCCAAGCATCTCTAAATGCCTCTTCTTCATGATGTATTCTCCTTTGATATGAGAAGAGTTCTTGCAGAACGCCTTGGAATCAAGAAACTCCACCGCTACCCTGTTAAAACAAACATGTTTCCATTACCTGGCTGCTTTTATTTCTATTTATTGACTGTTCAAGGTTGTACTATTAGATTGATTCTGTATAGAAGATTGAGGGAACTCTATATTTAAAGCTACTAGTTTGGCAGACTTGTCATGGCACACATGAATTCTTTTGCCAATTTAACTATGCATAAAAGAGAGAGGAAGAATGTTCATCTGATTCTCCATATGACCCTTATTCCAGGTCATAAAGCCAAATACGCTATGTTCTTTCCGCCGATGCTCTTGGTCTGGGCGGCTGATGACCGTTCTGTCTGAAGAATGTCACATCCTTTTATACACTGGTTCTCATAAGCCCTCTGCCCCACCTGTAGGCACAGTAGGTTTTTTTTTTTTTTTTTTGGATAATAGTGCAAAAGGCACAGTTACTTTAGGAAGCAAGACTCAGACTTTAAATTCCTCATCTTGTATATTAAACAGTTTTGAATGTGACGAATGGAGGCATCTCTAAATTCTTCCACTCTCTTTTCATCAGAATAAAACATTGGGTCTGTGGATAAATCGAAATGTGATTACAATCTTTCTCTCTTTGTTCACTTACCAGGAGCTGGGTACCCATTGTAGATTGAATAGATTGAATTTTACCCCAAAATTTAGATGATAAGCTTTTACAAATATAGAAAGTACAAAATGTTTACTGACCTCTGAGCCCCTGGGGGTAAGGACTTTGTTTCCCCTAACTGCTTGTCAAGTCCCCATTGCAATTTTGACAGATCAGCTGACAACATATTCTGGTCCATATAGGGGATGGGTTTTTTATTTTTATCCAGTATACATTCAAAATCTTAAAGAAATAATAATGTGTTAGAACAGGAGTACATTAGAAACAATCAAGGCAGAAAAATCATTTTATTTCCGTTTAAATGTCATCTGCTTTTTCTTTGAACCATTAAGCATGCAAGAGTGCCATTTGATCCAGAAGTTTAACATGACGTATTGCAGTATAAGGATGATGGGACTGAAAACATTAAAAGACAACGGTCACCTCAAAACTATTTTTAATAAAATGATTATTTAATTAAGTTTTGAAAGGAAATAGATTTATTTTTTTTAAATTAAGTATATTGAAAAAAAAACAAAACAAAAAAAAAAGAGAAAAGAAATCCTAATCCCTACCTTGAGTGTTTGACAGGATCCATATGCATACACCTCTTGTCAGACAATATTTGAAAACGGAGAGTTAATCTCTATTGTCTCCCTGTTTAACTCCCTACACAGAAGCAGGGAAGACCTTAGAGACTAATTGTTCGTTTTCAAACACCGTCTGACCGAAGATGTATGTATATGGCTGAACAATTCAGTCATATACTAAAGCTGGAGATGGGTTTTTCAAATTTTCTACATATTCTTCATTAAAAAAAAAAAAAATTATATATATATATATATAGCGAGGTTTGACCGCCAACTTGAATGGTCGCTTAATCTAAGAGCTCCTGCTCCATCCACTTACAATTGAGCACTTGCCTTCAGCATCGAACCTAACAAACAATTCTACACATTGCAGAAAATGTCCAGCACAGGATCAGGAGCAAAGAAGAAGGGAGAGGGTAGAGATCCATAGGTCTGTTGCCGGCCTTGGGCCCGACAAGAATGTCGCAAGATGGCCGCAGTGCAAGCCCACACGGCTCCCTCTCACCGGCATAGATCGCAGATGTCGAAACCCCGGAGAGCCAACAGGGTGACACTTACCAAATACTGGCGAAGCTTGCGGAAATCCGCAGCTTCCTGGCCGGAGAAATAACCCAGAGCTCTAAGGAGGTGAAGGCCAAAATACAAGCTCTGGGAGTCTGTACGTCTGACCTGGAGACCAGGGTTGAGCGGATAGCACGGGCCCACAACGCAGTAGCCACACACTCAAGCACACTGGAACAACACGTGTATAATCTCGAGATGCTGGTGGCCCTCTGATAGCCATGATAGAGCACTACTTCAAACACCTCCTGCCTTACATCCCACAATATAAATGGGTAATAGATAGAGCCCACAGAGCACTATGTTCCCAGAGAGCAGGAGGCTCCCAGGGACATAATTATACACTTTCGCTTCTACTTGACCAAAGAGGCAATCTTAAAATACAGCAGAGAACATGAACTCAACTATCAAGATGCCACCCTCACGTTGTAAGACGAGAGTGGAAACCAATGATTGACCTCTTAAGTATATCACGAAGTGCGCTATACCTGGGGACACCCGTTTAAACTGGTGGCATTCCGGGTGGGAAGAGCCCACGCGCTGCTCCTGGGGACGGACCCGGCACCCTTCCTCCAGGGTCTAGGTATAGACCCTGCGCCGGACTTTGCCTTAGCTCAATGGAGTCACCCCGGGCTGACGCCCCATGCCTGAGGCCTGGTGCGCGGCAAACAAGCTTCCCGGCGGATCTACTTAGGAACAGTAACAAGCCACGGGGCCGGCTTTCTGGGACTGCTACCTGACTCATCAGCACAGATAAGTGGCACTCTGACACGCGACCTGTAACCCCAATACAGTTAGCCCTCGGAGCCTCAGATGCCAGGGCTTTTTTCAGTGTTCTAAAAATTTTTTTACGCAACACAATACTGTAAATAGTTTTCAATGACGCCCTCACAGTGTAACAGGTATACAGAGCTAATCGAAGATCACATAAGGGGGCACTGGGAAGAGATCAAGAGGCAGCCTAAATAGGGCTCAGCCCAGCAGGGACACCCATTGCACAAGGGAACCACCCAAGGGGCCGAGACCTCTATAAACCCTCCCCGAGACCTAAGGGCACACCCGGGAGAGAGGAACCCAGATAAATCAGACCCCACCCAACTGTACCACCAGAATTACACGCCACTGTTGCGCACAATTACAGAGAATCTAGAAAAGTGGACGGATAAACCCATCTCATGGCTAGGCTGATTACACACCATAAAAATGAATGTCCTGCCCAGATTGTTGTTTCACTTTCAGGCCCTACCAGTAAGAGTCACCAGAGGAGACCTCACCAACATACAAAAGGCCACAGACACATTTATTTGGCAGAAAAAAAGCAAGCGCCAAAACATCCATATTTGTCACGATACAGGAGCAATCCGAAAATACATTATTTAGATGGTACATGACCCCTGTCAAACAGTGTCACATGAAACTGAGCACTACAGATTCATTCTATGTTTCTATAAGGTTTAAAAATAATATCAGGAAGTATTACTTTACGGAGAGGGTAGTGGATGCATGGAATAGCCTTCCAGCTGAAGTGGTAGAGGTTAACACAGTGAAGGAGTTTAAGCATGTGTGGGATAGGCATAAGGCTATCCTAACTATAAGATAAGGCCAGGGACTAATGAAGGTATTTAGAAAATTGGGCACACTAGATGGGCCGAATGGTTCTTATCTGCCGTCACATTCTATGTTTCTATGTTGGTGTTTATGCGGACAGAGAGGGAGCTATATCCACATGTGGTGGAAGTGCCCTAGGGTTGGGGAATTTTGGCAGAAGGTGGTGGGACCTGAGTTCAAACATCCTTCAAAGGCAGATGACCCTAGACCCCTGGGCATGCCTGCTATCCAAACCGACCGATGGTCTCCACAGACACGAGCAGAAGCTGCTCAACATGATCTACCAGGCAGCATGCAAAGCCCTAGCTCAACACTGGGCAAACCCCTGACTTACCCTCGATAGCGCTAGTAATTGCTAAATTAAGAGACAATTACCTCATGGACAGGCTCACAGCACAGGTCAGAAACACCACCACTTTTCAGAAAGTATGGGATCTAGGGGAGCAATACGATACTTAGCGCCCCTCAGAGGAGCCAGATGGGCCAGGGGGACCTCGGACCCAGCTGCAGGGGTTAGACGTTTTCCCACCGTTGTCACGGGGGGTGTTCTGAAAAACCCTTGGTTAACAAAGCGGTGAAGCTCCAATAGCACCAAACCACTGCTTAATTGGGACAACAATAGCTTGGCTCACCACCCACAGAAGCGCGCGGGCGGGCGGGGGGCGGAGGACAGAAAGAATAAATCAAAAAAGAGATACCGCTCCTAGCACTTTAAGACAAATTGATGGAGCAGAGATATATTATACGCTAATACCTTACAAGGTTATACCAATTGTTACGATAATTTATGTTTTGAATAACAAGTTATCTCGTTACTTCTTTGCAAAACAAATACAAAAACCATGACGGAATGCAAACAAGAAAAGTATACGCATATTTCAACATGCATAACCTAAAATGTATACTTCTCATTTCTGTATAAATGTACCATTGCTATAAGAAACCAGTTCAGCTATTGCACCAGCCATTATATCGCTAATGTATCACAGTCGTATGTCATGGCAAAAAAAAATATATATATATATCAAAACGTGATGAAAAAAAATTATTTTATCAAAAAGTAGTTATGAGGTGACAGTTGTTCTGTAAAGGTTTTCAAGAATTGGAATTTTCAAGGAACAAAGCTGTATCCCTAAAACTAAAGTGTTCCTCTTCTCCCAATCAGCACCCGTCAGCAAATAAAAGGGTTTAAAAAAAAAAAAAAAAAAGGGACTTTTTACAGTCACCTTATTCCATCACCGTGACTTCTCAGCGCTGGCGGCATCTCCTCTTTTCACTGCTTTCCTATGAGAGATTTGAAGACGCAGTATGTCCTTCACAAAGTCAAGCTTTGCAAAACAGTAGGAAGCGTCTTTAGTGGCTTTCTGCTAGACAGCCACTAGTGGCAGTTTTAACCCTGAAATATAAACATTACAGTTTCTCTAAAAGTGCAGCGTGTTAGGTTGCAGGGTTAAGGGACAGGGACACTGCACTTAGACTACTTCAATGCTATGAAGTCATTTGGGTGCCTATAATGTCCCTTTAAGTAAAAGGTAAGAATGTTCACTGTGAGATACATTCCAGCTACTGAAATCAGTGGCCTACTGGAACCAACATCATTGACTACTACTAGAATAATCGATTCCTAAATTATGCATGTCAAGTTTAAATAATGAAAAGTAATGTCACCATGATCAGTAAAAGTGAAGCCTTACATTAAAGAAACACTATAGGGTCAGGAACACAAATGTATTCCTCACCCTATAGTGTTAAAAACGCCATCTAGCCCCCCTGGCCTCGTTATATATAGTAAAATCTTACCTTTACTCAAGTCTGCTGCTGCTGGCTCTACTCCTGATCTGCCTGCTTGGCTGGCATCATCAGAAGTTATGATTTGAGCCAATCACCATGCTTTCCTATAGGAAAGCATTGGATTGGCTGAGCTTTTCAAGGAGGCAGATCAGGAGCAGAGTCAGCACAAGCTAAACATCACCCTGGCCAATAAGCATCTCTTCATAGAGATTCAATGCATCTCTATGATGAAAGTTCAGTGTCCCCATGCAGAGGGTGGAGACAATGAATGGCAGTGCTGCACACTGTTCAGCACTGCCCCAGGAAGCACCTCTAGTAGCCATCTGAGGAGTGGCCACTGGAGGTATCCCTACGCTGTATTGTAAACACTGTCTTTTCTCTGAAGCCTGAAGGGAATGATTATACTCACCAGAACAAATACAATTAGCTGTAGTTGTTATGGCGACTATAGTGTCCCTTACAGTTTTCATATTTAGTTATGAGGAATAAACCTGCATCTTTAAATCAAAAGCAAGCTGCATTAAGTTCCTTCCAGTCATATTACCTATGGAATGGTAGTAGGGAGTCATCACAGAAACTTTCACATAATTTATTCCTCCAAGAATTTCTCCAAGCAACTGGTGAATCTGTCGCTGCACTGAATTTATGCTGCCATTCACTGCATAGGGACAAACAGAAAAAAAACCAAAAAGATAGGTTGATCACAAACTTTAAAAATTAACTTTTAATAAAATATGCAGTTTATTTCAAAAGAGGATGTCATTGAACAAAATCCATGGCTGCCATTCAGCTCGGACTGACTTGTATACCTATGTAACAGCATTCAAAGAAACATAAGATTAAATACAAAAGAATGTCCATCTTGTGCTAGAAATGCATTTTTAGAAGTCAAAATATACAAGGGAAACAGGGAAAATGTGGGTTTGAAAAAGTTGTGTGTGGAGTTGAAGCATCACTCTTTTGTGCCTTTCTTTCTCACCTGTTATTATACTCTGCAGTGTTACACACATGTATTAGCAAAGAAACTCCCATTACAGGGAGCCACATCTCCATTTCTTTTTATTTCGGAACAGGTAATATTGTTTTACCTTTGCGCTGCACCTGCTGACAATACCGGTCATGAAACCAAGGGATCTGATATTCTGGACACTCCAGGCACACTGCGCGGTTCAGCTGCATCAGACGGAGCCGAATCCGAACGTTTAAAGCAGCTGGGAGAGCTGAAATATTAAATAATGTTAAAGAAAAAAAGGTTTCCTTTAAGAACATTTTAACACATGGTAAGCCGACGACTCAAATTGAAAATGTAGGCTAAACTAGCTGAAATGGAGAATTTTTCCAACTCAGAGATCATTTTACAATGCTTTTGATAATTTAGCACCATCTGTTTGAGAATAAAACACTAAACATAAACAGAAAATAATTATATATTTACATATACATGTAGTAAAAGCAACACGGCAAACGCTTTAAAAGGGATACTCTAATGCCTCGTTTCCACTGAGCGGTGTGGTTCGGGTCGGTACGGTTCGGAAGGGTTAGAAAGGTCCAGCCTATTCAGGTGGTCCCACTGCAACACAGACCACCCAGGAGAATTTGGGGTTTAGACCAAATGCCTAGCATGTCATTTATTGTGAGCATTAGAGTTTTCCTGTCCGCCAATCAATGGATTTTATAGTATGACACCAGTAGCTCCGCCCTAACCGTACCGTACCATTTCCTATGGACCTACATCTAAAGTGGGCCCAGGAATGGTGCGGTTTGGTTCTGCTGTATGGGCCACTTTCATAATGGAAACACTCAAAATAGCGTACCAGACTGTACTGACCCGAACCGAACCGCCCAGTGGAAAAGGGGCATTAGTAAGCAGTGTAGTTGTCACACTGCCAATTATCTATGAGTGACCTATTGTGGGATCACACAGGGCATGTTTTGTGTTTTAACAGTGCCAAGTAAGATTTATAATAAAACAACGGTGTGAAATATACTATTACAAGGATAAAGAAATTAAAATATAGCTACAGAAAACAACAGTGATTGTATAGGTAAAGAATACACATTTACAGGGATATCCACTAAAGTGAGAATTCAAAGAGAATTTAAAATTGAAATTCAAAGTTGCTGAAACTGGACTCAGAGCCGACTTAGAGAATATTTCCATTTCAATAATATTTAAAAAATTAAATTTGAAATTGACTTTGGATTCTCACATTAGTAAATAACTCTGTCCCTTTTTTATGTTCAAGTACACAGAGAGTTAATGATTAAATGTTCTAAACGGAGCGTATAAGATTCTCCCATGTGACTTTTCTTAGAAAAATTAAAAGAACACAGTGCCACTTGCTTCCTACTAATAAATTTACATACGATAATTTAATTATCCTCCATGGATATCCTGGTTAGAAAATGACCTTGTTTTTTTTTGTTTATACTTGTCTTTGTACAATTTGTTTTATTTGCTTATACAGTTCCTTCGAGGTCATCCTTTCTGGTGGAAACTGCTGAATACATCAAATGAGACAGATAACAATAAAGTTTATTATATACAACAGTTGCCACCATAAATTACGACTTTGCAAGATTCTGAAGGGCAGGGCAAACAAATTAAATGAAATTATATAAATAAAAAAAACAAAAAATTATGGGGAACCGGTTCTGGTGTGAAAAGTCTAAGTCTCCGTTAGAGTGTACAACTGGTGGCAAATATTTGTTGTAAAATCAAACACTGTAGAAAGTTTTATTGTGTATATTCACCTCGAATTACTTGGCCCCTTGCTCAGGGAAACTAACAGGTTGAAAATATACAGTCCATGGTTGGTTTCTGGTCAATGATCCTATTAGATCATAACCCATGCTTTGATTTAAAAACAGCGGCGTTTAAATTTGCGTCCTCTGCTAAGGGTAACTGAAGAAAAAAAGGAAGGATCAATCTGAAACACAATGCTTGTCTGTGATTACTTGCACATCAAGTTTGGAATTCAAGGATACTTGTGGAAACATGATTTTTGTGGCATATCTGTGCCCTAGGAGGACTTCCCAAAGTCCAGCTTGAGACATGCAGGTGTTACGCAGCAGTAACATAAACATATATTTAGTTTAACTATTTAAAGATCATTTATTCAGATGAACTGATTAATTTATAGTATTGGATAATTGATAGTATTGAATACAAGCTCTTAATGTCACAAATAATGTGTATTATTATTTTTATATTGGTATGGACATGCAATAAGAAAAAAAAACATCTAACACGGTGTGACTGACATTTCAGTTGGCAAATCAGTATTGACCTGGAAACGGAAATGTTTGTTAAAGGGACACTATAGGCACTATGAGTAATCTGGGTGCAGTGCCCCTGTCCCCTTAACCATGCAATAGTAATTATTGCAGTTATTGATAAACCTCTAGTTGCTGTCTACCAGACAGGTTTTTAACCCTTTCAGGGTCTCAAGGGAGGGGGCTCTATAGGGTACTATAGTGTTGGGAATGAAACTTTGCACTCTGAGCACTATAGTTTCCCTTGTTCTGAGTCAGGTGACTTGACAGTTATCTGAGCAGAAGATGGCTGCAATGTACACAGAATGTTTATGGCTAGCTGCACAAATGTGGCTAATTGGCAGAAATAGGTCAATAAATGTATGCAAATTCAATTTCTGCAATTTGTGTTGAATGCCCTTTAAAAACAAATTGTATGCACTACACGCATTGAAAGAAAGTTCCTTATTTTTACCCGGAGTTCCCATTTAAGGAAGAAAAGCATGCCTGGTAGTTTGTCTCTATCACTGGTCATAAATAACTATGGCATTCTGCCATTTAAAAATTATTTTTTTTTAATTTTGCAATCTTCAAAAAAAATAAAATAAGAAGAGTACAAGAATACAGAACATCTCCTCCAATGAGGTAGCAATCAAAGAATGTTCATCAGGGGTCAGATCTGCCTTTGTTTTTAAATAAACTTACTTTCCAACTGAGCATCCAGTTTGCCCAAGAAATCAATATTGAATATAGTTTTTATTAGTTCCTCTGGAAAGTATTCTGCGACAGCTAGTGCGTAGCCAATCAGAACCAAAAGGTGGGGATCAAAGGAATCTGTAGAGAGAGGAGACGATATGTAAAACGAATAAAATAATGGACATAGTGTGTATACACAAAAATACATTATATATATATATATATATATATATATATAAACCAAAGTACAATTAAGTTTAATTAATTTGTGTAATCGCCATCTTGGACAGCATTAGAAAATTCCGTAAATGGCAAATCGCTGATTGTTTTAGAACAAATCAGTAAACGTACAATACATTAGGGACAACCTTAAATGTCTTTTCCCTAAACCACGGGAACATTCACAAATTTAGCATTTGGCCAAATTTTGATCTTTAAATGCACCGCAAGGTACCTATAACATGATTACACATTATAAATGGTTTCATAAAATGCCAGCAAAGTAGAATCAAACATAGTATGTGCAGCTCATCCGAAAAATATACCGCAATTGTACCATCATATCTGGCAATACAGTTTAGTATCAGTAGGATGAAATGACAGTAAACTTACTTAAGTGTGGCAGGAAATGTTGGATGCATGCATCAAAGAACTCTTCACATTGTGTGGATTCATAATTGAGCACAATAAATGGAAGCAGAATTGCATATGTCGCACTGTAATGGATCTTAAAGGAAAAAAAGCACACACACAAAAAAATTAAATAAATAAAGAGTAGCAGTAGTTTGTGTTTACAAAATTTTCCTTTAGCTGCCCTGAATGTTTAGTAATACTTTCATAATCTCTCCCATTATCCCAAACATATTTAGACTTTCTAGTTTAGATTTCCATTTGTAACTTTGCATAAGATTTACTGATAAAGTGAATATAAAAATTAGAATTCTTGATAAATACTTTAAGAGCAGATCTAAAGCTAGTCGAGGACTAGTTAAAGGGACACTACAGTCACCAAAACAACTTTAGCTTAATGAAGCAGTTTTGGTGTATAGATCATGCCCCTGCAGTCTCACTGCTGAGTTCTCTGCCATTTAGGAACTAAATCACCTTGTTTATTCAGCCCAAGGCACATCTAAAGCCATGGGCACAAGCTAAAGTTGTTTAAGTGACTATAGTGTCCCTTTAATGATTTAAGCTAAGAAGACCGAATTTCCAAACAAGTCATCATTTACCTTTGAGATGTTCTCCATTGTTACAGAGGCAATTTTGTCTAAAAGTGGGGGATGACGGTAGTGTGTTCGAGTAATAAACAGTGCAATATCTGGGATGTTTTGCCACGAGACCTGATCTAATAATCGATCAAAAGTATTTATGGTTTCCCCTAAAAGGACTTCTTCCAGCCAGTCTCCAGTCATGTACTTCAGTTCATCTAAGAACAAATCAATACTGTCTATTTGCTGAATTCTTTTAAGTCCACAACTATTTAGTTTCTTAAGGAGGTTCCCATAGGCTATGGATGAACTATGATGAGACGTGGTGCCTATCCGCATCCATTTAATGATTGCCATAGCCAAGGTGCTGAGGTCACTAAGGCTGCATTGCGGTAACGTAGCCTCCACCTTAGAAAGGATCTCTTCGTCTACTCGAGGAGAAGGCAACATTGTGAGGACCCTGGTCAACCTAGCTACCTCGCTTGGTATAAAGCTGGCTTTCAAAGATCTGGAAAAAACAAAAATTAAATTAAAAGTCAGGTTGTAGAATATTGGATTTTCTACTGACACATTAGATATGGGTGTCTGAATTGTGTATAAGTAGGAGATGGTTTTAATAATTCACATGGCTTTCTTTGTCTGAGAATTCTGGAATGTGGATGTATATAAAGAGGGTCTTCAAAGGTGTCCTTATATGGCCAGAGTTTTAGCTAAAATGACTGAAGTCAATATAGCCATAGCTATACAAATATACACCGATACTTCGCAATGGCAAAAAGGATTAAAGGGCATCTTTAATTTCAAACCACACACACTTTCTGCAGGTATAAGCAAAAGATGGTGGACAGCGCACTAGTTGTGTCCACCATTTTTGTTATTTTGCTTTGGTATTTGTTTGTTAAACTTAGTGGCTGATTTCACGGTGGAGTTTAACCAGCACTGATTTGTGCTCACAAAGCGCCTTTATACTACAGTTGTTTGTATAAGCAAAAGTATACAGAGAAAAAAGCAAAGGGAGTTCTTTGCACAATTACCTAAGTGAAACACATTAGTGCTTATGGTACTTTGAGTGTCCTTTTAATATCAAAGTTTAAAGTGTTACTCCAACCAAAAAATGGTGTTTTCATAAAACACTGATTTTGGAGATGTAGTAACCCTTTCTGTGCTTCCCTGCCCCCACCCCCACTTTGCTCCTCCTCACTACAGAGGGAGAAAGGTCAGGAAGGATGTACTGAGAAGAGGACGGTGGCAACATGGGTTTGGGAGGGGGATGCATTCCATGATTGGCTGTCTGGCGCCAGAATAGCCATCAGCCAGCCATGAACTTTATTCTGGGCTGGCTAATGTTGATATCAGAGGTGAATATCTCTGTATTTGCAGTGTTTTTAAGTGAAATGCTGCACATATAAACTCCAAGCACCATGACCACTTTGAAACCCTGAAGTGGTCAAGGTGTTTGGAGTACCCTTGTAACAAAACACAACGCTACATTTAGGTAGAGCATGACATGTGAATCCTATGCAAGGAACTTCTATCCATCAGTGTAAGATATGTAACAATGACGATGGGATGTGCGTAATTCCCAAGACATGCTTTCTAACACTCCAATATGCACGCAACTAGCAACCGAAGAGATGACAGAAAAAAAGAAACATTATTACCTTATTAAAAGTTTTTGTAGCTGTGCAAATACTTCAGGTGTCTGGCAGTGCATAAACACCAACGCTTGGGTTACTTTAGCCAAATCTATTGGTCTGTAGAAATCCAAATACTTGTGTAACAGTGAAGCAACCCTATACAAAATACAAACAATGACTTCCGTTTACATTATTGTAATAAACACAAAGTGATGAAAATGAATACATCAGTTACCTTCAATTTGTATCAATATTTCAGATGATATGAATGTGTAAAATAAAGCACTAGAGGCTGAAAAATACCCCCATCTACAATTTCCAGATTTTACTAATTACATGACGTAAAGTCATGATTTTATAAAGGACACGGAGGCGAATATTATGCTTATCTCTTTCTTTATTATACCTCAGCAGCAAAGAGAAGGTATAAACATTCATAGAAAAAAGTTTTAACAGGTTCTCCAAAGGTTAACCCAACATCATACCCTTAACCAATAGGAACAGTCCCTCTATCTATAACTATTCATGTGACCTTTCCTCTTCCTCTTTCTTTGGTCATGCCGAAGCTGTATCATTATAACTTGAGAAGACACTGGAACACTTCATCCGTTGTGTCGAACTTTCCCATATCCCGAACTTGTAAGAACTTGTCTGCGTAAACTGCGGTGACAACTGGTCATCCAAGGTGTCGCGTATTGCGAATTAAGCTGTAATGGGATAGAGAAAAATATGGTAAAATGTGGTCTGAGGAACTGTTTGCCACAACGTTAGTGACTAAATCTTAGCATAAGCCTGATGTACTACAGACTCACTAGTACAGTTGTCTTAAATAAAAAACGAATTAAATCGAGACGAAATAAGACACCACAATGACCCTTATTTTATTGTTTATTGGGTGGGCATGTCACTCTACTTTCGCTGATATATGCCTGATATACTTACCGGGTGGGCCAATATTCGCCTCCGTGTCCTTTATAAAATCATGACTTTACGTCATGTAATTAGTAAAATCTGGAAATTTTATTAAAGGACACGGAGGCTCATATTATGCTAGTTCAAAGCTGTGCAATGACTCTTGATGCTACGTGGTCTGTAGGGTGAAAATAATATTCCTTAAAGGTGGATTCATGGGACCAATCTGCCGTCCGTAACAAATCTTCCAGTCTGCATCCCAAGTTGAATACTTTAGATGCCATAGCTCCTCGAGTGGAGTGTGCCCCATATACCGAAGTATCTATGTTTGCAGAGGCCATTATCCACTTCACCCATCGGGCTATCGTTATGGAAGATACTGGCTGGTGTGGTGAATTGACGGCCAGAAATAGTTCATGTTGTCCCGAGTTTCGAAATGCCTGTGTCCGTGTTTCGTATTCCTTGAGGCAGGCAACTGGGCACAGATTTTTGTTGTGCGGGAATGCTGGATATGACACTGATGTTGTCGCTGATTTTGTACGTCTGGAAATGTTGAAAGTTACTCCCGTTGGAGTGAACGTGCGTGCGTCGACGTCCAATGCCCGGACATCCGAGACTCTTTTGCAGGATATTAGGCATAAGAGCATGGCCAATTTCGCTGAAAGTTGTTTCAACGTGAGGTCAGAGTTCTGTGGCCATAGTTCCAAAAGATTTAAGACCACATTCACGTCCCATACCGTACTATATCGGGGTCGCGGTGGTCTTGCCAATCGAATACCGCGTAAGAGCTTGCATACCAACAGATGCTTGCCTGCTGGAAATCCTTCTATACCAGTGTGTCCCGCCGAGATCGCTGACCTGTATACATTGATGGTCCGATATGCCAATCCTTGGTCGTATAGGTGTGTAAGGAAACACAACAGGTGGTTTACAGTGGCACATACGGGATCCACGTGTTGTTCCATGCACCAACCACTCCAGATGTTCCAAGCTTTAGAGTAGGATCGTCGTGTTCCCGGAGCCCAAGCTCCCGCCAGGAGTTCGAGAGTTGTTTGCGGAACGTTTGGCACGACCCAGGGACCCCGGAAAGGAGCCACGCTAACAACCTGAGTTGTCCTTGCGCCATCAGAGGGTGTGGGTTCCCATCTGGGTCTGAGAGGAGATGTGGATCCTCGGGCAGCAGTCTGGGGAGATCTATGGACATCTCCATGAGTAAAGGGAACCAAGGCTGTGCAGTCCAGAATGGAGCTATGAGGACTAGGGACGTCCGTGTGCGGTCGAGGTGCACTAGCGTTCGTGCCAGTAGGGCGAACGGTGGGAACGCGTATAATCGTTTGTTCGGCCATGGTTGTAGGAATGCGTCCGTAGCTAACGCGTCTGGGTCCGGTCTCCAGCTGAAGAATTCCGGGAGTTGTGTATTCAACCGAGACGCAAACAGGTCTATATATATCGGACCCCATAGAGTGTGTAATCGTAGGAACGTCTCTCGGTTCAGGCACCAATCGCTGGTATCCCGCAGATGTCTGGAGTTCCAATCTGCTACGGTGTTCGAAAGTCCCGGGATGTATTCGGCTCGTACTGTGATGCTGCGTTCTAAGCAAAACTGCCAAAATTCTGTGGCTAAATCTGCTAAAATTTTGGACTTGGTGCCGCCGAGGCGGTTGATGTATTGGACGGCTGAGACGTTGTCCATTCTCAGGATGATGGAGCAATGTGTTGCGGGACCTAGGAGGCTCTTCAGTGCAAACGAACCCGCCATTAATTCCAGGCAGTTGATATGTAGTGTCCTTTCTGCTTGGGACCATTTTCCGCCCGTGGAGGTATGTCCACAGCGCGCTCCCAGGCCCGTGTGCTGGCATCTGATTCTATTACGCAATCTGGGTTGTTGCCGAAGATTGCTCTGCCGTTCCACGCTTCCATGTGCTGCAGCCACCACCTGAGCTCCTCCTTGGCTGTGTGATCGAGTGGCACAGAGTCTGAGTAGGAGTGTCCTGAGCGCAGTTGTGCGGCTTTTAGTCGCTGTAGGGCCCTGTAGTGTAAAGGCCCTGGGAAGATCGCTTGTATGGAAGCGGAGAGGAGTCCAATTATCCTGGCTAGTTGTCTGACCATAAGTGTTGGTCGAGCCAATGTTCTGCGGATCTCCTTCTTGATGATTTTCATCTTTGTGGGTGGCAGGCTTAGGGTCCCTAAGACCGACCCTATTTCGAACCCTAGGAATTCTAAGGACTGGGAGGGGGTTAGTACCGACTTCTCCCAATTGATTAGGAATCCCAGGTTCTGTAGTAAAGTTACTGTCCAATCTAAATGTTGTAGTAGCAGTAGGGTGTCTTGGGCCATGATCAGCATATCGTCCAGATATATGATCATGCGGACGCCCCTGCTGCGCAGAAGCGCAACCACTGGCTTCAGCAGTTTTGTAAAGCACCATGGTGCTGACGATAGGCCAAACGGAAGGCACTGAAACCTCCAGGTCTGGGAGTCCCAACTGAATTGTAGGAGATGCTGACACTCCTTTGCAATGGGGATGGTGAGATATGCATCTTGGAGGTCTAATTTTACCATCCAATCCCCCAGCCTGAGAAGATCTCGCAGGCAATGAATCCCTTCCATTTTGAAGTGGTGGTATCGTACAAATGTATTGAGTGGGCGAAGATTGATCACCGGTCTTACCCCACCGCCTTTCTTGGGGACCAGGAACAGATTGCTTACGAACCCTGGGGAGTGGGGCGCGACCTGATAGATCGCACCCTTCTCCACCAGAGCTATGATTTCTTTCGACACCAGTTCCCTGTCCTGAGGGGCGAACACCATCCGCCGTGGCATTGTGGATTGGATTGGGTGTGTGACGAATTCTATATGGTACCCCGCTACTGTGTCGAGAATCCAGGCATCGGACGTGAGTCTGTGCCATGCCCCGATAAATTTGGAAAGTCTGCCCCCTACGTGCGAGGTATGAGAGAGGGGAAAAGGAAAAGCACTTACCATAAGGTCGTCGGCCGTATGTGGCACCCCTGTGACCTCTGGGCTGCCATGATCTGCCCCTGACCGGGAAGAAAGGTGCGGGGGTTCTGGTCTCCGCCTGTGGGACTCTTGGTGTCGTGGGGCCCCGGTAGCCCCGGTGGGAGCTCCGTGGTGGGCGGCTGGACAGGCGGCCCCTGTACCTGCCAGCCCCTCCAAAAACCTTCGGGGAGAACACCCGTTTTAGGTTTGTTTGTGCCTTATCCAGGGCTGTAAATGTGCTCACGTAGGTGCCCAGCTCCTTTACAAAATTATCTCCGAAAAGGAGGCCTTTTGCCTGGGGTCCAGGCTCGGTTATGGCCATGTTGACCAGTTTGGGGTCTATTTTCATGAGAATTGCCTTCCGCCTCTCAGTACTAAGTGCGGCATTTGAATTGCCGATGAGGCAGATAGAGCGTTGTGCCCACTCTCGGATCACTAAGGGGTCTAGTGGTGCGCCACCTGAGATTGTCTCTTCGACCAAGTCGAAGATCTTTGCGCTAGGGCCCAAGGAGTCGAGCACTTTATCCTGGCAGTGGCGCAGGGAGTAGTCTAGCCCTTTTTTGGCTTTCCAGCCAGCCTTACCCAGGAACTGGGCAATCTTGGGGTCCACCTCCGGCGTGGCGCACGCCATATCAGGGACCATTGGGCGTGGGCACTCTGCCCTTAACTTATTCCTGGTTGTTTTATCCAGGGGCTTCCTTATTCTGGCCGCAATATATTGGGCCACATGGTCAGCTGGGAACCAGTCTGTGGACCTGGGGTGCTGCAGGTCGTCAGGGTTGAATAGGGGCTCGCCCTGGGGGTCTAGGATGGTGGAATCATCCGCGGGCGCTTTTCCCTTAGCTGGTATGACTGCCAGGCTGCGCTCAGGGGAAGAGTTCCCTGATTCCAACGAGCCGAGTTCCTCGGACTCACTCATTACCTCCTCTATGTCCGAACCAGAGTCGGATGTCTCTGTCTGGGCTTTTGCCCATCTCCATGTCCTCACCGCTTTTGCCCGGTGGGTGGCTCTTTTGCGTGGGGGCCCCACGTCCTCAGTAGTGACAGGGCGTATCCTGTCCGTCGTGCTGTTTTTGGAGGTGTGTTTGCCCATATGGTGGGTCTTCTGCGTAGCCTTACGGCCGCTGGGGGGCACAGGTTTGTCAGGCTGGGCCATGGGGCGGGGGCCGCTGGTATGGCTGTTAGACGCCAGTATGGCATTACTAATGGATTGTGTCAGGGTCTCAGACATCGCCCCCATAGCCGTGACTATAGCTTGGGTGACCGACTTGGTCATGGTTGCATCCAGGAGTGAGTGAAACTCCTCCGAGTTTAACTGATCCATGGATGCCACGTCTTCTCGCAGTGGCGAGCATGGACGTGGTATCTGTGGCACGTGATGAATGGTGTCTGTACTGTTATCAGTGGGGGTGGCAACCCCGTGGTCCCTAAGGTGTTGCATGACAGGTAGGTTGTAGCAAAAGGTGTGGGAGCAGTGACACCTAACTGGCTGGGATACCAAGTGACACAAAGAAATTTGTACCAGACTGGCACCAATATGTGAGAGGAAAAAATGCCCCTAGTGACCCTGTGCAGGGGCTAACAGTAAACCAAACTGTGGGCAGTGGGCTCTGAGAACAGTGCAGGTGGAGGATGCAGGCACAAACAAAGGCTGTCAGCTTACCAAGTGTTCCCCCTGGAATGGCCGCCAGGGAGCACTGGTAAGCTGCCAGCCAATGCAGCTGGCCAATCAGAGAACGCCCGCCCTCTGGTACAGGGCGGGCGGAGAGAAAAGCGCGGCAAAACCCGGCCGGCTTACTGTAAATGGCCGCAGTGCCGAGCGGCCGTTATAGCGCATGCGCGAGCGGGCTCTGGATTCAGAGCGCTCGCGCCGCGAAACGGCCGCCGCGGCTCCCAGAGGGCAACAAAGAACGGGTAATAAACTACCCGGTAGGGTGTGGGAGGGGGTAACCGCCGCAGGGGGGGGGGGAGGGAACCCCAGTGAAAACGTCTATCTGCCCTAAAGGCAGACAGGCGCCGGCTCCAAGAACCGGCTAATTAACCCACACAAACCTATCACATAAAAAAATATTAAAGACACAGAAACAAACAAATACAATATAAATTCAAAAGGGTGCTCTGAGGAGAGCTAAAATTAGATGGTACTTAGCTGAGGCAGCAGCAAAGAAAGAGGAAGAGGAAAGGTCACATGAATAGTTATAGATAGAGGGACTGTTCCTATTGGTTAAGGGTATGATGTTGGGTTAACCTTTGGAGAACCTGTTAAAACTTTTTTCTATGAATGTTTATACCTTCTCTTTGCTGCTGAGGTATAATAAAGAAAGAGATAAGCATAATATGAGCCTCCGTGTCCTTTAATAAAATCCATTATGTATATAACATTAAAAAAAAAAAGAAACAAAATATAAAAGTTTCTTGGGTTTTGGGTGCAAATTCCCAGACTTTACATTATCAGCCTTGAGATGTGCCTGCACTAGGAAGTAGCTGGGACAATCAGGAGGCTCTCATTCTGGTCTATGGAGTCTGACCTGATAAGTTTAACCCAGAACAGCAAGGGTTACTGTGCAGACGGGACACTGAATGTTTCCTTCTCTTTGCACAGATCTGTGTTTCTCTCACCTGTCAATCACAAACTGCCCATGTACAGGGAAAAAGGTATTTGATCCCCAGCTGATTTTGAACATTTGCCCACTGACAAAGGAATGATCAGTTTATCATTTTAATGGTAGGTGTATCTTAACAGCGAGCGATAGAAAAAACAACAACAAAAAATCCAGAAAAACGCATTTCAAAAAAGTTATACATTTATTTGCATGTCAATGAGTGAAATAAATATTTTACCCCTTTGACTTAGTACTTGGTGGCAAAACCCTTGTTGGCAATCCATGAGGTCAGACGTTTCTTGTAGTTGGCCACCAGGTTTGCACACATCTCAGGAGGGATTGTGTCCCACTCCTCTTTGCAGATCCTCTCCAAGTCATTAAGGTTTCAAGGCTGACGTTTGGCAACTCGAACCTTTAGCTCCCTCCACAGATTTTCTATGGGATTAAGGCAGGGCTCGACTAAAAATTTTGCCCATGCTCCTGGGATTTGTCAATTTATCTAAATAAGCAAATAATGGAGCCAGCCGTCCACCCGCGGGAGCATTAAGGCGGCCGGCTGACTGAGCATTGCAGCCAGCCGCCCTGCGATTTATGGAGGCAGCCGGCTGAGTGAGCGTTGCAGCCGGCCGCCCTGGGCTTTATGGAGGCGGCCAGCTCAGTGGATCATCCAGGCGTTCGGCTGGGGCAGCATGCGAGGGAGCAGTGATCTTCCAGCGGCTCCTCTTTGCTCCCTTGCGCTGTTTAATGATGCCGGGAGCCACAATATGACGTCATTCCGGCCTCGGCATCACAGGGAGCAGAGAGGAGATGCATGGTAGATTACTGCTCCCTCTCACACAGGAAGAAAGAGCAGCCCCACTAGACCCCAGGGAACGTCCAACTCAGCACTCCCAAAAGGTAGGAAGGCTGGGTGAAAATTTTATTTTATTTTTTAAATGTAAATTTGTGTTTGAGAAAGTGTATTTCAATGTGTGTGTGTGTGTGTGTGTGTGTGTGTGTGGGCCTATGCCTCTGTCAGTGTGTGTGTGTATGCCTCTGTCAGTGTGTGGGCCTATGCCTCTATCAGTGTGTGTGCGCCTTAATGTGCCTCTTCTTGAGCAACTCCTATGTTGCCTTGGCTGTGTGCTTTGGGTCATTGTCATGCTGGAATACCCATCCACGACCCATTTTCAATGCTCTGGCTGAGGGAAGGAGGTTTTCACCCAAGATTTCACCCAACTGACTCGATCGTCTGAACATCACTCTCACAGAAACCTCCAATGTCTTACCTAGAGCATTTCTCCACTATTCTCCAAACTCTCCTTTTACCTATCTCAAACCTCACCTGTCCTAGTTCTGCAACCTCCTTCTACAATTCCACCCTCTCCTCTCAACTAGACATCATGGCACCTTGTACATTTAAATGCCGCAGGCCCCCCCAACAACAACCTGGCACACCAAGCTCACTCGATACCTCCAAAAATGCTCCAGAACTGCTGAACGCTGTTGGAGAAAGTCTCACTGTGCATCTGAATTTCTCCACTATAAATTTATGCTGAGCTCATACAGCTTGGCTCTTTCCTCTGCAAAAGTTAATTACTTCAATACCCTCATAACCACACTCTCCCGCAAACCCAAACGACTATTTCACACATTTAACTCTCTTCTTCACCCTGCTGTTCCTCTTCCACCTAATAACTTGACCGCCTCATACTTTGCAACTCACTTCACTGATAAGATCTCTACAATCAGAGAAGAGATCTCTCATCTTTCTTCTTCCCCTTACAATACTAACTTCACTCCCTCTGCTGTTCTATGTTCATTCGCACCCGCTACATTGGAAGAGGCTTCTGCTCTGCTCCAGTCCTCCCGCCCCACCACCTGCTCCCTAGATCCAATTCCCTCGCATCTCATCCGTACTCTGTCTTCTTCTTTCTCCACCTCTCACTAAAATTCTCAATATCTCTCTCTCCTCTGGTATATTTCCATCGCCCTTCAAACATGCAACTGTAACCCCAATTCTAAAGAAGACCAATCTTGACCCTAACTCCCCATCCAACTATCGTCCTATCTCGCTACTGCCTTTTGCATCCAAGATCCTTGAAAGAATTGTGTATGCGAGATTGACAGACTTCCTCGAGTCCAACTCTCTGCTAGACCCGCTTCAGTCTGGTTTCCGTGGAAACGGCGCTGACCAAAGAATCCAATGATCTACTCGCTGCAAAATCTCGTGGTCATTACTCTATCTTAATTCTCCTTGACCTGTCTGCGGCTTATGACACTGTTGATCATCAACAGCTTCTTCTCATCCTCCGCAATATCGGTCTACGAGATTATGCTCTCTCCTGGTGCTCCTCCTAACTCTCCCAGCGCTCTTTCAGTGTTTCTTTCTCTGGCTCTGCTTCTTCTCCCCAACTCCTCTCTGTTGGTGTCCCCGAAGGTTCAGTCCTTGGTCCCCTACTGTTTCCATCTATACTGCCTCCCTTGGCAAACTCATTAGTTCCTTTGGCTTCCAATATCATTTCTATGCAGATGACACACAAATCTACCTGTCCTCTCCTGATCTCTCCCCGTCCCTCTTGACTAGTGTGTCTGACTGCCTCTCTGCTATTTCTAACTGGATGGCTGCCCACTTCCTTAAACTAAACTTGACCAAAACTGAAATTCTGGTCTTTCTTCCCTCAACTGTTGTTACTCCTGTGTCGGTCTCCCTCCAACAGGGCTACCATCAGCTCCACCACGCAGGCTCGCTGCCTAGGTGTTCCCTTTGACTCCGACCTTTTTCTTGAAGCCTCATGTTCAATCTATTGCCAAATCCTGTCATTTCCATCTCAAAAACATTGCGCGCATCCGCCCCTACTTAACGCCAGATGCGACTAAGGTGTTGGTCCATTCCACTGTCCTTGCTCGCCTTGACTACTGTACTCTGCTTCTCAGTGGTCTTACGTGCTCCCAACTTGCGACGTTACAGTCCATAATGAATGCGGTGGCGAGGCTCAACTTCCTGTCAGCCCGCACCTACCATGCCTCACCCTTCTGTCAGTCCCTACATTGGCTTCCTATAAAATATAGAGCTCAATTTAAAATTCTGGTTCTTGCGTTCAAATCTCTACATAATGCTGCTCCCACCTATCTATCCTCCCTTATACACAAGTATGTCCCGTCTAGGCTCTTACGATCTGCTGAAGACTTACGTCTATCTTCTGTCCGTACTCCCACCTCTGATGCTCACCTTCACGATTTCTCGAGGGCTGCACCGTTCCTGTGGAACTCGCTACCCTCCTCCGTTAGAGGCTCACCCAGTCTTCCCTCCTTCAAAAAAATCGTTAAAATCCCACTTCATTATAAAAGCGTATTCCTCTTCTGCAATGGTCACTAGTCTAATAGTATCCTTACCTTTTTGTGTCATTTTACCCCACTCCCTCTATCATGTAAGCTCATTGAGCAGGGCCCTCAACCCCTCTGTTCCTGTGTGTCCAACTTGTCTGGTTACAACTGCATGTCTGTTCGTCCACCCATTGTAAAGCGCTGCAGAATTTGATGGCGCTATATAAATATCATAATAATAATAATTTGATGGTACATGGCCCCTGTTTTCTTGGTAAATATGGTCCCAGCTGCCTTGAGATCATTAACAAGATCCTCCCGTAGTTCTGGGCTGATTCCTCACTGTTCTCATGATAATTGAAACTCCACAAGGTGAGCTCTTGCATGGCGCACCAGACCAAGGGTGACTGACAGTTATTTTGTGTTTCTGTCATTTGCGAATAATCGCACCAACTGTTGTCACCTTCTCACCATGCTGCTTGGCGATGGTCTTGTAGCCCATGCCACTCTACTATGCCCATTCTACTATATAACTATTTAGTAAGTACACCCCCAATGAAACAATGTACATATTTAATTATGCATTTTTCCATTCTATCTAAAACAGCCCGCGGAGGCTGCAGATCTCTTGTCTGCAGCCTTTGCAAGTCTTTCTCTTATAACTCCGCCTTTCTGTTGCTATCCAATCACAGACTTCATAATGCAGCTCAATGAGAAGTCTTTACAAGGCAGATGTTCAGAGCAACTGCTTGTCTGTTGAATTTAGTTCCACTGAGCTTAACAAGCCAGGAAGTATCAGGACTGGTTGCCTGATTGACAGCCATTGAGGGTGTGACAAGGTTCATTTATAAAAGTGCTCATTTCTATTCAAATCTGCACTTTTTGAAAAATGAAAAATACAGAACACAGTCTTCAAACAAAAAAAGCACTTCAGCAAGCTTAAATGTTTTAGGTGTGTGGAGTGTCCCTTTAAACAATCTACATTGTAATACTACAACATGCACAAGACAAGGTAGAATAAGAAACTATTTGAAGTGTGTGTATTACTTCTGGATTAGGGTGGTGTTTCTACATTCCATTTCCTCCAGGGTTCCAAGAATTGCCATAATCTGTTGAGGGCTCATTTTGTCAACCACACTCATGGCATCTTCTTCAAGCCTGTGGAAAACATATGGAAAAGACATAAATAACCAGGACAAGGCTTTAATATGAAATATACACAAAGGAATTCTCACAGAGTAAACACTTTAACCATTGCAAACAAAATACAATGTTTCATCTCACGCAAAGAAAAGTCAAATTAACTATTTAGTTTTTTTTTTACAATCTTTATCATATACTTGTAATTGTGGGGTCTTTAAAAGGACACTGTAGGCACTATAACTATTTCACCTTATTGAACTAGTTAAAGGAACACAAACAAGTATTCCTGACCCTATAGTGTTAAAACCCCCATCTAGCCCCCCTGGGCCCCTCATGCCTCCCTAAATATAGCAAAATCTTACTTGTATTCAAGCCTGAAGCTGTAACTCTGCATGCTGTTAGACTCAGAAAAAAAAACAAGCAGTCTGCTGACATCATCAGAAGTGGTAGCCTGATCCAATCACAGTGCTTCCCCATAGGATTGGCTGAGACTGACAAGGAGGCAGATCAGGGGCAGAGCCAGCATGATTCAAACACAGCCCTGGCCAATCAGCATCTCCTCATAGAGATGAATTGAATCAATGAATCTCTATGAGGAAAGTTCAGTGTCTGCGTGCAGAGGGAGGAGACACTGAATGTTTGGATGCATTTCAGGCAGCCATGACCCAGGAAGGATCTCTAACAGCTATCTGAGGATTGGCCAGTGAAGTTATCACTAGGCTGTAATGTAAACACTGCATTTTCTCTGAAAAGAGAGTGTTTACAGCAAAAAGCCTTAAGGCAATGATTCTACTCACCAGATCAAATTCAATAAGCTGTAGTTGTTCTGGTGACCATAGTGTCCCTTTAAGTGCATGGAGTCCTCTAGAGTTGTCCCTCCATTCTGTGTGCAACCATTTTTGGAAAGTTTAAAAATGAATGAAATGAATGATATTACACACATTCTTGCAACAATCGCAATTCATACCTGCAGTAGGCACTGTGATAAGCTGAATGTAGTCAGCTGACACTTTCAGCCAATCACAGCCACCCATTGCTGCTCATGATAATGCTTCCTTATTAACCTAAGTGATACAAAAAATATGGATTGCTGGGGACTCTTGTTGAGCATTAAAACATTAAAAAATAGTTTAATGTTAAATGGAAGAACAGTGCCAGGGGACTGCAGACACTATAACCACTTCAAGAGATGACAAAACCAAGTCTCACGGACTCCACAATATATATTGAATTCAGTTTTACAAGCAGATTTAAATTGGCAAAACAAATGGGTATATATTAACTTAACATTACAATTTTCAAATGGTATCATCAGGAAAACATATGAGCACATTGGTCTGTAATGGCTCTCCACTAAAGTTTTCTTTTATTATTGAAAAGAAAAGAAACAAAATATCTTTAATTGGATTTACCCAATACAAGAGAAACATCTCTTTAAAAAAATTGTTAGTTTAGAAAACAAAAATGAATATGCTTACTTTTCTCGGATCTCTTGATTGGCCATAGGTCCAAGTGTGGCAAATAATTTAGTAAAGTTACCAATATCATGACACTGGTCTATTACTTCCAACAACCGAGCCTTTGCCATCAAACGAAAATCTGAGTTGTGGAACTGTAGAGATTGGTACAAACCAATGACGATGCATAGTATTTCTGGGTCCATTTCATTAATACCCTGAATGAATCTCTGGGTACACTTTTCTAAAAGTGGCCTGTGTGTATATTTAATGTTTCTGAGGAACTGCACAATCCTGCGTGGCTGGTTGAAATGACAGTTTCCTGTTCCATCCATCAGAAACTCGGCTTTCTCAATAAGTCGATCTCGTAGTCTCTGGGAAATGACTGCACATATGCTGACCATTAAACTGGAGAGGATTCTGGGAAGAAGAATGATATTGCTTAGTTTAGCTAAAATAATTAACTACATCAAAATATAACTATGAATGACTTCATACATTGGATAGTAATTTAATATATGTGGAAAATTGTTAAGATCACTCCCAAACTCCATTATATGCTGCAGCCCCCTCCCTTTTGATTCACCATCTATTCTCACTTCACTTTGCCATCATACCCTGCTTCTCTCAATTAATTTTAAACCAGAAAGTCTCCCTGTCGGTCTCTTAGTGAATTTCCCTAACTGTCTGTGCTTGCAGTCAATGTCTTCATTGTATCACTGTCTGTCCGCCCCTCCCATGCTGCCACTGTCTTTCCTTCTCATTGTCCATCTGTCTTTAACATGCTGCCACTATGTTAGAATGAACAACATCCCCATCCGTTCCCACTGGACTCAAGCTCTCTGGTATAGTTTACCTTGCATCTTGCAAATCGTCCAGTCTTTTATCCACAATACTGGCTATTTGCCCTATAATTGGGCTTGTATTCATATGCTGCTCTGTCAGACAGACTGAAAATTTAGACAGTTCAGACAGGTTAAACCTATGTAGAAAAAAAACATATCTATTAATATCTGCAAAACACTAGCAAGATTTAAACATGCCTTTGGATAGGACTGTGAAAAAATACGATTAGATTATACATTATGCTACATTGTACACTTTTATCTACTTACATAGAATGTTGAAATGGGAAAAAAAATATTAGCTTTGTATTGCTAAGGATGGAATTAGCAAGAAAGAAAACCAAAGTGCAAAATTTACACCAAAATGGACAAATTGGGGAAACAACTCCAACCCACCTCTAGTTATAGTTCGGCATTTTTAGCACACGTTACAAAACAGTTTATTGAACGTCACTACAGTTTGGTATATGGTAAATAAACCCCAATGTGTTTTAGCAATTCATGGTTATAGAGCAGGGGTAGGCAACCTTCGGCACTCTATATGTTGTGGACTACATCCCCCATAATGCTGGCAAAGCATCATGGGTGGTGTAGTCCAAAACATCTGGAGTGCCGTAGGTTGCCTATGCCTGTTGTGGAGTGTAACGGTTTCTTTAATTTACTTTACTGCACTTTGCTATTGCTACACACAGCTTGTAAAATATATTAAACACATTAGAATCTCAAAATCTACACGTCTCATTGCATCCTTCCCCTGAGGCCTCCATTTGAACAGAGATGCACTTTCATATATTCCAACAAAAATTGTAACAGTTGCTTTGGAAATTGTAATACTTCCACCTTAAAGGAAAGCCTGGCGCCTCCCTATTGTAAGTAGCCAAAGTGGTTTAAAACAGTTGCCAGAAGCTTCCGTCTCAGAGCTAAACCCAGCACTGCAGGACTCAGCTCAGGAGAATAACTGGTTTCTGAGCAGGAGCTTCTGTCTCTCTTGACTGTGGCCCAGCAGGCGACAAGTAAAATGTAAACTGCTCTAAAACAGCCAGGATACTCTTGGCACCATAACCACTACAATGCACTGTAATGGTTATGGTGTTTGGAATGTTCCTTTAAGTTGCTAAAAAAAAAAAAAACACGCTTAAAAAAAACAATGCACATACCTCTAGGATTGCTATTGACTAAGCTGTTACTTTACAGCAAGAAAAAAAATGGGGGTTCACTCACTAACAAACCACCCACAAAGACACAAATACTAAAGTTCATCAAGATAGACAACTGCATACTTGCCCTTCTAGTCTTTTCCATCCTTCCACAACCAGCTGTTGTATAAGAGAATCATGTTCTTCCACATTAAACCTTTGAATAAAAGAAAAATAGTAATACATTTAAAAGCTGCAGTATACAGTTTTTTTTATTACATAAATGAATGTGCCTTAATATTCACCGTAGCATGTTGTACAGGGTTTCTACTAAGGTATTGTCATCCATTAAGTCAATTTTATTCTCCGCTAAGATGCGCAGAGCAATGAAGTCAGGGTGATTTCTAATCTGGTCGATGGTTCTTTGCGTATTTGCCTTCTCTTTTTGGAAATGCCAGAGCATGTTGATTGCATAACCCACATGAGTGACTGAGAGTTTAGCTTTGTTTTTCCCAATCAACTGAAGAACTTGATCTTCACCAACACATGTCTTCAGCTGATCCAGTAATGGATCTGTAGTCATAAAGCGGGCCTGATTTATCCTCAGAGAAAGACGGCATCGGCTGAGACAACGAAACATGTCTGCGGCCGTAGAGGCAAATCTCAGGAAGCAAAAAATAATTGTTCCTTCTCTGAAAAGTCAATTGATTCTGTAGAGTATTTTTCAATCTTCATTGGTTTATGTTTTAATGATTTTAGTTAATAATAAAAACATGATTGTGAAGATCTGCAATGAAAAAGATGGACAGTAAATAGCTGAAAACAAAGGCTGGAAACATGATGAGACACTTCACTTAGAGAGGACTGAAACCACTGGACATGGACACCTTTGAGACACTTTGGATGGGTAATTCACAGAAAACAGAATGCTTAAAGGACCACTCTAGGCACCCAGACCACTTCAGCTTAATGAAGTGGTCTGGGTGCCAGGTCCAGCTAGGGTTAACACATTCTTTTATAAACATAGCAGTTTCAAAGAAACTGCTATGTTTATGAATGGGTTAAGCCTTCCTCCAATTCCTCTAGCGGCTATCTCATTGACAGCCGCTAGAGGCACTTGCGTGCTTCTCACTGTGAAAATCACAGTGAGAGCACGCAAGCGTCCATAGGAAAGCATTGATAATGCTTTCCTATGTGACCGGCTGAATGCGCACGCAGCTCTTGCCGTGCGTGCGCATTCAGCCGCATGGGAGGAGAAGAGGAGGATCGGAGGAGGAGAGCTCCCCGCCCAGCGCTGGAAAAAGGTAAGATTTTACCTCTCCCAGAGCCGGGCGGGAGGGGGTATAGTGCCAGGAAAACGAGTATGTTTTCCTGGCACTATAGTGGTCCTTTAAAGGGATACTCAACATCAGCTTAATTAAACAGTTTTGGTGTATAGATCTCACTACAGTCTCACTGCTCAATTATCTTCCATTTAGGAGAGAAATCAATTTTTGCTTTGTTTATGCAGCCCTAGTTACATATCCCCCGGCCGTGACTCGCACAGCCTGCATGAAATAAAAAAAAAAAAAAACGGTTTAATTTTCAATTGGATGTGACAGCACACTTAGTTTACTTTACAAGTTTATTATGTCCTGTTCTTTTAATGGAACTGTAATCACATACAGGAGGCCCTGAAAGCTCTAGCAGGCTCTCGGCCGAGCTGGTGATAAGAAATTCGAAATTAAACAGAATGTGCAATAAAGGACGTTTAAACAGTATATCTCTTTACAGAATATGTGTAGGGAGACGGTGTAGGTCAAGCAGGGGAAGTATGGTTAAAGCTGCATAAACAAATTGAATTAACTCTTAAGAAGTAAACAGTTGAACAGAGAGACTGGAGAGTTATGATCTATACTCTAAAACCACTTATTTATTTTAAAGTTGTTTTGATGCTCAGACTGTCCCTACAAAAAAAAAAAATACAAAAAAAATATCACTAATTGCCTCACATAAAATCTGTGCACAGCCTTTTTCATAAAGAACAAAGACAGGTTACTTGTGAGCACAGATAGATTGTGGGTACTTTTCCTTCCTGTTCTTTTCTGCAAATGCCCATGTTTCATTTTCTAACTAGAAGAGTACCCGGCTGGCTTTTGTCAATTCTGTGCATATTTGTATTCACACAGGAATATTCATTGTCTTTAAGTTCACAGGTGATGCTCTCAGCCAATAAATGACTGGTGAGTTAGGCATCTGCAGAAGCCAGATGTCATTCAGGCAACCATTACTGGGGGTTAGGCACCCAGCGCAACCAGGTAAGAGAGCAGACTTTCGCAAAATGGTTTGCCCCATTACCTGGGATCGGCGCCATGGTATTCCAAACATCATAAGCATTACAGTGGGCTGTAGTGCTTATAATCCTTGGAGTAACCCTTTAAGGCCAAAGTAACCAAACCCAAAGCATAGCCCAGTTCTGCAATTTTGGCCCTAAATTTGGAAATCTCTTTGAATTCACAACAATTCTCACTTGAATGAATAACCCTGTATGTCTTACAATGACAGAGACCATTGAATGTTGTCATATTTAATACATTCAAACATATGCGAAAAAGTTAGTGGAATTCAATCCATTCAGTATGAAAAATTCATGTACTGCAATTTCTTTTAGATTAATAAAAATATTGCAATCTTCAGGCTAGTACTTTTCATAAACTGCCATACATCATGCAGACGAGATATGTGTCCAGTACAAAAATATTTGTATTAGGCAGACCATTAGCGATTACATAATTAATATTATCATTGCCAAGGTTATTATCAACAAATGCATGTGTCGATCGGTCTGATCTCTTACATCTTGCATATTTTATTTAAAGAGTTATAAAAGATAAATGTGAACTGGTTTAAACCTCATTTGTGAATTTTAGTTTGTATTTTACATTGAATAAAGCTGCTGTTGTGTAATAAAAATAAGGATTTCCTAAAATGGTAAGGCAAATAATAAACGTTTCACTGTGTGGACTTTCTATAAAATACTTCAATACTTTTTTTTTTTTAATTCCTCCCAAATACATAAAGGATAATTACACTTACAGATCTGCTGTAAACCCAATGGACTGACCTGCAGGAAGTCTTTAGAGCCCATGAAACATGTGACAACCTACAGGCAGGTCTCACACTTCCTGGCGCACATATGACGTCATCCTGCAAAGCCTGCATTCCATGTCTTAAACACTAGAAACAACTGCAAACCCAAAAAATAAATAAATTAAAAAAACAGAACTAGTAAACAAAATGAACAGGTTTATTTACAAATATTTGTATTTTTAAAAAAACAGATGACACTAACATGAACTAAATGTGTTTTTTTTTCTTTCTAATTTTGCATGGCCGCATTGTCAAGGAACCAAAAATTACAGATGAGAGCCATGTGGCCCCAGAATTGCTGCACTTTGAGAAGTTAGCCAGCCTTGTAATAGAGGAAAATGTCATTTGGTCTCCACAAACATGGCTGCCTGCCTGTGAGGCGCTTTGTCTCTGGTGTTTATAACTCTCTGCACTTTGAAGGATGACGTCTTAAGAGCGCGCCCGATTATCCTGGTGTATGTTTGATAAGAGGACGCAGTCGGGATACAGTGTAAGGCTTGCAGCAGCCAGGCCTGGTAGTGGCGCTGTACAGGCGCTCCATGGCAACCTTGGTTTGCGCGTGCGCAGTCCGCTAGCTAGCCAGCTCACGCGCGCGCTGAAGGTCAGACTCAGTGCGCAGCCGCAGAGCCGCGTGCCCAGGGGAGAGCGTCGCCTTGGAGGAGGCAGAACGTGTCGACCGCCGATAACGCGATCCCCTTCCACCCCGCTCTCAGCCTGCGTGTGTTGGGGCGAGTCACGTGATCCCCAGCCGGCCGCCATCTTGGGTCGCAGCCGCGTTACGGCCGCTCGGCGTTCGATCTCCGCTGCCTGCCGTGGGCGCGCTTGCTGTGGTGTGTGAGGGGAGGCGGGTCCGGCCCGGATGCTTTTCGAAGTTTCTGTGTTTTCCCGCACATCCCAGGGGCCCCTGCCGCCGCTCGGTTACTCTGGAGCCAAACTCGTAGGATTGCTGGCCCCAGGGCCCCGCTCAGCTCGCCGTGACTACCCCGCGTGAGGTGAGTGCGCACAATGCCGGCCTGCTGGGCATGAAAAATGCTTTTC